TATATATATATATTGTTAAAATAGGATTCATCATAACGCTTATCTCTGTTGCTTTGGAAACCCTTTCCTTTTAACTACATGTTTGACAAAAAGCTAATATAACACAATATAAAGATACTTTTATTAAAACATGTTTATTATTCTGTAGTTTCCAACCTAATGCCCCCATCCTTCAAATGAAATTTTATAATTATAATTCACTCTATTCTTTTGATAAAGAGTCCAAGTCTTTGGGAGCCATAAGGAGTAGCAAGGAATCGTGGCGGGCTCAGCTTGGAAGTTGGAAAAAGGGGCTTTGACGTTTGGGAACCACTGCCCTGCATTGACAGTGTTGTGTCCTTTTTGTCCACAGCTAAACAAAGAGCTCGCGCAGCTCCCCCCACAGGTGACTCGGTCTTGTTCGAAGACACCAGCTCACCAGCATCTGGAGTGAACAACCAGGGCTTTTACACTCCAGGTTACAACGTGGGCGGACCCTCAAACGACATGCAGGGAGGCGTGGGTGTAAACAACCTGTTCACTGACCCAATGGCCAACGCTGCCATGATGTACGGCTCTTCTTTAGCCAACCAAGGGAAAGATATGGTAAACAAAGAGGTGAGTAAGACCATAGCAAAAATTAATGAGTTAACAGTCACTTATAAAAAAAAGAGCTTTTGAAGGAAAATACCTTCACCAGATAAATCAAAACTGGTGGAGTCCAACTGGATTGATGATTCTGAAACAGCATTATTAGTTGGCTCTTAGGTGTGGGAATCTTTTACTCTCTCACGATTTGATTCTGATTTTTAGGGCCACGATTCGATTCAAAATCAATTTTTCATTCAAAACTGATAATGTGAGCCCATTTGTCATGTTCCCAAAGTGTTTTATCTTCATTTTACAAACCTCACACACCTCGTTTGTGTCAAACTCAGACTAATTCAGTAAAAACCAAAATAAGCCCAAATCTTTGCATTCAATGAAGACAGGGCCAGTTGAATCTCTCTTTCCTCCAGTTTTGTAGTTTCTTCTTTGTTTTAGTGCTTTCTGCACATTCATATGTTCCAGAAGCAGCTGCGTGGTGATGTCAGGATGTCCCATGAAGTTATAAAATGGAGGCTGACAACCATTGGATTTGCTTTATGTTTTTATTAATAAAAATCGATTCTGGGACATTTTAAATGAATTCTGAATCTTTGTAAAAGAGAATCACGATTCTGATGTGAAACGATGTTTTGGTGCATCCCTATTGGCTATATTTATCAATTCTGTCAAACTCTTTCTTTGTTTCTGTTAAACTGATGTTTACACTTTGTTCCTCAGATTAGCAGATTCATGTCTGTGAACAAGCTGAAATACTTCTTCGCAGTCGACACCAGATACGTACTGAAGAAACTCATGATCCTCATGTTCCCATATACACATCAGGTAATCTGAGTCTGTTAGACTTTGTTCCCAGTCACTATGTGACGACACGAAACACTTAGTACCTAATTACTGCACAAATTTCTCTGGTATCTCATATTTTAACATTTATTACATTGAAACTGTGTACGCAAGATAATCAGCTTTTTTTGTCAGCTTTGTTCCTGAACATTTCTAGACTGTGATTACTGGCATCATGTACAGAATTTAAAACAACTTCTTCAGCTCAGTTATTTAACAAACTCCTTGAGGCTTTCAGATTATAAATAAAGACACCACTACAGACAGCATGTACCTTTTTTAAATTATGTAAACCAAGTATATTATGAACTGATACAGTATGGTTTGTCTTATAAATTTATAACATAACATAGAACTTCTCTGTTCTTTTAAATTTTTTTATTATTATTTTTGCAAATGTATTATATGTTTCTCCATGACTAGGTCTGATTATCTCACAAAAAATAGAATATTAGTCTGTTTCCTACTGTAAAAGTATATTAACAGTTTATTTTAAAGTCCACCATTAGTATAATTACTCAGTTGAATTGAGTTTGCTAATTTATTATTATTGGTGGAGGTAGTAGTAGTAGTAGTAGTAGTAGTAGTAGTAGTAGTAGTAGTAGTGGAGCCTTACTAACCTTACTACTACTTAATTGATGCTGCAGCATACGCTGGTGAAATTTCTCGTTACAAACTATTTTCCACAGTTCAGGAATCATTTAATAAAAACTGAACGTTTGGATGCTCTGAGCTAATAATAATAATAACTTTAATAATAATAATAATAATAATGAGAAGCAAGCCTTTGTTAATTCCCAATGGAAAACAAATTAAAATAAAGAATACCAAACGTAATACCAAATAATGTTTGAATATCATCAGTTTGTATTTGTGTGTTCTTTGTAGGACTGGGAGGTCCGTTACCATCGAGACTCTCCACTGACTCCAAGACAGGATGTGAATGCACCTGATCTTTACATACCAAGTACGCTGCACTTTAGGAAACACACATTTTATACTAGCAGGGTGATTTTAGACTCTTGTTTAATATAAAATGTTTTTGTTTTGTTTTGTTTTTTAGCCATGGCTTTCATTACCTACATTTTACTTGCTGGAATGGCTCTTGGTATTCAGAAAAGGTGGGTAAATATTCTAATTTATTATGTTTATGATTCACAGTAGTGTGTCAGAAAAGCTTTTTTAAAAAAAAGTGTGCGTTGATCTTTGTGTGCAGATTCAGCCCAGAGGTCCTTGGAATATGTGCCAGCACTGCCCTCGTGTGGATCATCATCGAAGTCCTGGTCCTGTTGCTGAGTTTGTATCTTCTGACGGTACACAGCGACCTCTCAACGTTTGATCTCATCGCCTACAGTGGATACAAATATGTTGGGTAAATTGGTATTTTATATATATCTTTAAGTATAAGAATCTGATCAGACATTTATAACAACTGCGTTTCATGATGATAAATTTTGACATGTAGTAACTGAGATGCCTCTCTAACACACTCCGAGCAACAACAGAGAGCTTTTAGTTTTTGCATGCGGTGTGCTGGATTTATTTTAAAACATGGTTTGAATTATATTTACAGAGAGATAATTTTATTTTTTTGTCTAGAATGATCTTCACAGTGTTGTGTGGCTTACTGTTTGGCAGCGATGGTTATTTTGTGGCCCTCGCTTGGTCCTCCTGTGCTCTTATGTTCTTCATTGTAAGTATTTTCTGCCTTCTATTCACATCATCTACTGCAGTTATGAACCTAGAAGAAAGAGAGTGATACTTTTTGATAATTTTTAATTTGACACTAGCTATCATTTTTTATCATTTGTATTTTAAACTGTTTATTTCTCCACTTGTTCGATCTGGTTGTCAATTTGAAGATGTCGCTTCCTTCCCAGGTTCGATCTCTGAAAATGAAGATCCTCCCCTCCCTCTCCTCAGACTCCATGGGAATGGGATCAAGTGCCAAACCCCAGCTCCGCCTTTATATCACTGTGGCAACTGCAGTCTTTCAGCCAATCATTATTTACTGGTTAACCTCTCACTTGGTCAGGTGACTGTGAGGCATTCAAAGTCCAAAAAAATACTGGACCCAAAAATGTGGTGTGGAGTGTTTATACAGTCGCCTCCTCTGTCAGTAAACTCAGAACATTTGTAGGAAGTTTTGAGCTGAAGCCCATCTTTTTCAGGATGAAACAGTTTTATTAATATAACCAGAATGTGTGAAACTAATTGTCCCTTGGTTTATTGTGACTATAAATAAAACTGATAAACGCTTTATTGCTTTCCACATAAAGGGCTTTTATTGACACATTTGTTTATTCTGTTCAAATTTCTTTTTTAATTATTGGGTGTGTTTTCAAGTATTCAAATCTTAAAGTACACCCAAAGTGGACAGAAATCTACGTTACATTAAACTCAAGATTCTGTTTTTGCTAAACGAAAATGCTGCTGTCATCTCTCTGTCTGTTTTTGGTTCTTAATTTTATTTATCTACAGCACATTTGACAAAGCATGACAATGTTGGAACTTTTGTATGAAAAATAATAAATATTTTGCTTTGTGTATACACTTTTTCCACTGTGTAATTCCTGTGTTGTGCATTTATTTCACATTCAGATTCTAAAGGCTTACATAAAGTTTTAATATAACACCGTATATGTAATATATGTATCTGTAATTATTAAACACACACACACACACATATATATATA